ATGCATGATACTACTATATGTGGCTAAATCTCTATTATTTTCACCATAAGTGAAAAATTTAATTTGAAGCACATTGCTGTCTTTCCTGAGAAGCTGGCTTTATAAGTCACTGAAGGAAATGAGTTCTATCTGTGTGCCATTGTTTTTTATCTACAGAAAAATAGCATTAAAATTCTATGAGCCAAGGAACTAAAAGTAAGTAGCTACAAAAAATACTTATTTTTGAGGCTCAAGAGTACACTTAATGTCTGTCAACTTATTTTGTTCTCCACTAAAATAATGTATATAGAGGAATTAACCAAGAAAGCCATCTAACTAAACAATCATTAATAAAACTCTAAATAAAGGATTTTAACATGTTTATCTCCAACTTTACTTTCATATGTGATTAAGTCAATGGAAACCAAATTCATGTTGAATTTTCATATCCAACATTAAAATCACCAATTTCAGATAAGAAAATGAAGCTAAGTTTAAAAAAATAAGACTAATTCACCATTTAGGCATTTGTAAAAGACCTTGTACAAATTTTTAAAAAATTCTGTGTTCATATAGGAGTTGACAAACTGACTCAAAATGAAGGAAAATTTTCCTTTGTAATAAGACATTGGACAAAACCCATGGCTGCCATTTAAAAGAAACATGGAACCAAATTATTAGGAAATACTGCTTTGTAAGTTAGCCGTGAAACAATAAATTATTGAACAAAGAAAATTAGTAAAAGCCTTAAGTTAAAATGACCAAGTCACATAAAAATTAGGCCTATTCAAATAACATCTGATATTTCAATGGAGTCTCTGAAACCCAGAAAGGCCGGGATGGATACTCTACAAGTTCTGAGATAGCATAGAGGGCAGCCTAAACTACTATACCCCATAAAACTATCAATTGCAGTTGACAGAGAAAGGGAAATATTTCACAATCAAAACAAATTAAAGTAATTCCTGTCCATCAATCCAAGAAGGAAACTTCAGTCTGAAGAAGAGTTTAACTACATCCAAGAGAATACAAGGAATAAATAATCCCAGAACTGTTTGTCAAAAGAAGGTAAGGAAATCCACATCATAACAACAAAATAGCAGAAATAAATAAACACTGCTCATTAATAATTCTTAATATTTATGATCTTACTTCCCCAATGAAAAGATACAGACTAACAGATTGAGTTAGAAAACAAATCAATCTTTCTGGTCTATCAAAAAAAATCAAAGATAGCCATCATCTTAGGGTAAGGAGATTGAGAAGGGCATTCTAAGGAAGTAAAACTTAGAAGTAAGGAGGTGTCATTATTTTAATATAAAATAAAATAGACATTAAACCAAAACAAAAAAATCACAAAAAAATAGACAAGGACACTACATCTTCATTAAATGAAAACTCCACTGAGCATATTTCAATTCTAAACATTTATTCATCAAGTGCAAAGACTCCCAAGTTTATAAAAGAATGACTATCCCAGCTAAAATCACATATTGACCTCCTACAATGATGGTGGGTGACTTCAGTACCTCAGTCTCATCAAGTACAAGTCATCCAATACAAAATATGAACAGAGAAGCACTGGAGGTAAGTAATATCATAAAATCAAGTGAAATTAACTAATATCTATAATGCATTGCAGTCAGACACTAAAGAATATACCTGTTCTCAGCAGCTCAGGGAACTTTCTTAAAAATTGAGCACACATTAGGATACAAAGTCTCAACAACGGTATGAAAATTTAAATAACATGCTGAATCCTATCTGAAGGTAATGAATTAGAGTTTTATATCAACAGCAATAGAAATGGCAAAATGTATAGTTGGAAGCTGAACAACTTACTACTGAATGAAAACTAGGTCAAGGAGGAAATCAAGGAGGATAATAAAAACTTTTAAAAATTTGAATAAACATAAAACACAAATTTATAGAATATAATGAGGACAGTTCTAAAAGGCAAGTTCATGACACTAAATATCTACCAAACAAAGAAACAGAAAAACAAATGAAAAAGCAAGCTTGAGAGATCTCATATTAGTTAACGTGATGACTCGCTTAAAATCTATTAAAAAAGAACACGAATAAATACTATTCAGAAAGAGTGGATGGGAAGAAAAAACTCAGGGCTAAAGCCATAAAATAGAAAACAAAAATACAAAGGATCAATGAAATGGAAAATTGGTTCTTTAAGAAAATTGACAAGTTCATAAAACTTTAGCCAAATTAGCCAAAAAAAAAAAAAAAATAGAACAGAGGAAAAAGATCTAAACTGATAAAAATACATTAGCGATTATAACAGACACCAAAGAAATTCAGAGAATCATAAGGACATAGTTTTAAAATCTGTATGTCTCCAAACTGGAAACATTAAAGGAAATGGAGAAATACCTTTATATATAAAACATACTAAAGTTAAATCAAGATAAAGTAAGCAAGTTGAACATACCTGAAGCCTTAGAGAAATAGAAGTAACCAAAAATTACCCTGAACCAAAAAAATAAAAAATGAATAAATAAAAAAATCCCAGGTCCAGCTGGATTCAGTGCAGAATTCTACCAAACCATCAAAGAACTAATACCAATGCTTCTTAAACTTTTCCACAAAATTAAAAACTGGAGGGAAATTTCACATATATTTTAATTAAGTCACTATTACCCTAATGTGAAAATTATACGAAGATCCAACAAAGAAAGTTATAGACCAATATCCTTTATGAACATAGATGCAAAAAATTCTTAATAAAATTCATGCAAACCAAATTCAAGAACACATAAAAAATTTGTCTACCATAATCAAGCTGTTTTCATGTGAGAAATGTAGCCATTGTTCAACATATATAAATCAAATATATAAACAAAATCCACCAAATAAACAGAATAAAAGATTAAAAACCACTTGATCATGTCATGAGATGCAGAAAAGGCCTTTGACAAAATCTAATAATGCAAAGTCAATGCAATCACCACTAAAATTCCAATATAATTCTTCACAGAAATTATAAAACAAACAAACAAACAGGCAGTCACATAGAAACATTGTGGTGTATTGTATGGGATTTTCACTGGAGTCCAGTGTATCATTTCTATTTTTTTTCTTTTCCTATTTTTATTCATTTATTTATTTTTCTATTATCAGCTTGATACAATATAAATTCTTATCCTAGTAGTGAAATGTTTCATTGAGGCTTGCCCAGTAATTGAATAAAACCAAAACTTATTAAAAGCCACAGTCATCCTAGGGTGCTCCCTGCTATGGGTTCTGTGGGTTGCAGTCTGATTGTTCTTTGCTTTATATATAGTATCCACTTATCAGTGAGTACATACTATGTTTGTCCTTCTGGGTTTGGGTTACCTCACTCAGGATGATATTTTCTAGTTCCATCTATTTGCCTGCAAATTTCATGCTGTCACTGTTTTTCTCTGCTGAGTAGTACTCCATTGTGTATATGTACCACATTTTCTTAATCCATTCTTCAGTTGATGGGTATCTAGGTTGTTTCCAGGTTCTGGCTATTACAAATAGTGCTGCTATGAACATAGTTGAGCACGTATCTTTGTGGTATGATTGAGCATTCTTTGGGTATATCATTTTTTAGATTGCCTCATGAATCCCTCAGAATCCTAAGGAGAAAGAAGTGATGCCCTTGTTCAATGATGGAGAAACCTAATCCCACAGAACTGTGAGGACTTCTTTTCTATGAAAATGAACTTTTCCAGAATCTCAGAACGAGAATCCAAGTACTTATGTTTTCTGTTTAATAATTGGAATGACTACCTTACAATGTTCCATGGCCTTGGATACACTTTTTACACAATACCAAAATAAATTGTTCAAGTGTTCTCTCAAGTCTTCCCCAAAGAGCTAACAAGCAACCCACTCAGCGGCTTTACTTCTCATAACCCCATCTAAAGTGTGGAAGAGCAGTCTCTGTTTCTTAGGACTGAATCTGGCCATCTCAAAGTAGGTCAATAAAGAGTATGTAATTCACCAATATGAGAGGCATTTCACAGCACCCATAATAGACTTGAGCTTTGAATTCTGGAATAACACATTTACATTGGCCTAGTTCAATTTTATTTCCTCAAACTGCTACAAAGGTCATTGTTCAAAATTGAATTCGTGAGTAGCCAAGAGACAGAAAGCCTATATCAAACAAAACAAATTCTTAAAATCTGATTGTTCAGGTATCACATAACTTTTAAAATAGTGGTTACTTGGTGTATATTGCATCATAATAGGAATAAAAGACATGGAACTTGTGTTAATGAAAATTAGATAATCAGTGAATCTTAGGACTGAAAAGATGTTGAAGATCATCTATATCAACATTACCCCCAACTCTAGTTTACAATATAAGCAACCAGGGAGTTCTCAAAAGTATCACTTCAGAGTCTTGCCATATAACAACTTCATTTTGCCTGTGGTAATGGGATCATATTAGTTCCTTTTAAAAGCAGTTTCTCAGGCAATAGAACATCCAGTAAGATATGTAATCAACATATCAGTAACAACTCTGCACAGTTAATAGGAACAATAAAAGAATAGTTTGATTTCCACAGATGAAGACCATACCAAAAAAAAGGATATATGGATGGTACAACAAGCTGCCACTCCTAGATGAAGAAAAAAAAATGTATAGGACTACCAGATTCTTTTCTCAACCCTTTAATTGTGTGTAAAAAAAAAAAAAAAAACCTAAAAAGTGTACTTAAACTGAAAGTGTCTATTATTCAGGCAAGAAATATTTCTAATGTGCTTTTAACAAAATTTCAGAACGATGCAAAATAAGCATAAGTTTGTGAAACAGTCTCGAGATGAGTACACAGAATGTGCAATTTTTAAACATTGCTATGAAGTACTGGATGCACAAAACAATACAAAATCCTAAATGATGCAGATTACAGAATATAGAATTATGGCTAGATGAGCATATATGTAGATACATGCAAGTAACATTTTGCTTTGTCAGAGGAGAAGACCAAAAATCAATGACACTGTAGTTGCCACAGACATATCTGCCCCCATACCTTGTCTCTTAATTCTGTTCTTCTTTAAAAGGGCCCAGAGGTCAGGTACTGTGATGCACAACTTTGGTGTCAGCACTCTGGGGGTTGAGACAGGTAGATATCTGTGAGTTTGAGGCCAACCTAGTCTACCTAATAAATTGCATACAAGCCAGCCAGGGCTGCATAGCCTTATAAATAAATAAATAAATAAATAAATAAATAAATAAATAAATAAATAAACAGGCCCAGAACCATTTCAGAAATAGTTCTAGAAATTAGTTCTAGAACTAATGAAGGAAGTATACAAGGTGGGTATGGATCCTCTTGCAGCACTAGCATATGTGAAAATCAAATAAAGAACAACATAAAACAATTATCAAGTATGTAAAAACCAACTAACAGAATTAACGAAGTTAGCCAAGGCTAAACTGATTTAAAAGATAACCAGAAGTAAAATTGCATTGAGTTATAATCTGACATACAAATGTGATATGCATGAGCTATTCAATTAAGTGAAAGGAAGGACAAAAGAAAATATCCCGTGCAAAGGAATTTCAAACTGATATGGGTGCTCCTGTGAGGCATACCCTTACCCTTGAATGGGGGAAAGCGCACTGTGACTATGTATGAGAACATGATAGAGTTGGGAGCAGGAATTTATCTCAAATCACATGGTGAGCATCTTGCTCAACATTGGGAGGTCACATCAACAGCAAATACCCTTTGTTAACACGAAGAAAATTACTTTGTTTCCCCTGAGTTCTTCCTCAAACTCAGTTCCAAATCCCAGTCAAATAAAGTACCTGACCGGTGTTCCACAGGTTGTCAAGGTCTGGCAAACCATGGAGCTGAGAAAATGCTATAAAGGAGAACAGGAGGCTATGGAGACATGGCACATCAATAAAACAATGTCTTGCATGGTCAGTGAAAAAAATGTCAGACAAAGAAATCAAATGTATTATGTTTATATTTGCCAAAAATGAGTGTGGGGTTCCTGGGAAATTTGTACTGTTTTCACAATAATTCTACAAATCAAAAGGTACTCTAATTTTCAAAGTTTATTTAAAGACATACTTTGTTCCCTTAAGAAAGACTAGATTAATATTCAGCCTACCCTTTGTTACTTCACAGTCATGACTGTTTCATATTAATCATAGAAAGAAAAGGCCGCTACGGGTCTAATTTTAAGATGCCTTGATATCATCAATGATTTTACAAACTAATCATGGAGAAATAGTTTTATGTTATATGTGAAGCTATCTATTATGAAGATTACCTATTGCATAATAGCTGCACATTATTGGGGACTATGCTACAGTCTATGCAGAGAACAATTTATGTTTTCAGGACAGGGCATCCATGTGAAAAATACAACATTTTTCTCCTGCTGGTAATGAAGCCTGTATTTTGTCATGGACACTAAACTCTGCCAAGCTATTTTTCCTTTGGATATTCTCAAGTATTTTTTTTTCCAGCGGTGGCTGCTGTTCAAACTTACATAATAGAATTGTCACACTTTATAAACTGTGTTGAATATTCTGATCCCTTTCATTTGAAGAGGTCCTCTATTTCATGCCCAACTAGCTTTGAGGGCCTTCCGAGATAATCAAGTAGTCATTGGCACCTTGCATGTAATAGCCGCTGCTGCATGAAGAGTCCATAAATTCAATTCTCTGTGCAAAAGCCATGGAAAACAGAACCTTCTAGACTAAATCACTTGCAAGATTCTCTATTAGATTTCTGAGACTAGCCCTGATAAACAAAAATTTGGAGGATATTTTCTATTACAGATTGAACAATATCTGGAGGCTCAAATATCTCATTGACTAATATTTTATTTTGGTTTCTTGTCTACTTTTCATGATATTGATACTATTTTAGTGGGTGAGCTACTTCTGTGATTTGTGGTCCCAGCTCCCTGCAGCCTCAGATGGACCATTGTCATGATTCAGCTGGATAATATGAGCTATCCTGAGAATTTAGCCCATGCTATTATCCCCACAACATATCAGCTGGAGAGGCAACTAGGGCACGTACTAAACTAGTTACAAGTCAGAGCTCTGTCTAACCAGTATAGATTGCTATTTATTTATGGCTAGCCTGAAGCTGTTTCAGACACAGGTGACCATCTTTAACTTGATCAAATTGAACTCTCCTGGTGTTCTTCTGGAACAAAGCATTACTGACTCCAGATCTCCTGTTACTAGGAGCATTATCTGCAAATGTTACCCTAAGGCTGTGACCGTCCTGCAAAGTGCTTTAGTTAGAAATATCCTTTTTTAAATATGTGTCTTTACCTTATCACATCCGCACATCTTCCTATGTCAGCATCAAAGAAGAAGAGAAAAGAGCCATCCTCACTCTCAGCGTTTCTATGTTAGAATGAGAAAGATATCACTAAGATAACTTAAACAAGTAATAAAAATGCAACCAAGTTGAAAACTCAAAGTTTTCAAGAAGTAAATGAGAACACAAGTAACCACCACCACACACACACACACACACACACACACACACACACACACACACACACACACTTCTTTATCTCTAATAAAGATACACACATTTGTGAATTGGAATTCACAGAGTGATCACATAAAACAAACACCATTGTCACCACATCTATTGTTAGTGACAATGATGCATTTAAAAAATGAATACAAGACTCCAGACTGAGAAGAAAATGATTCATAAATCGATTCAGTCTTCTTTCCCATCAAGAAATATTGGTTTTAATTTGGTCACCAAAAGAATTATTAATTAACATCTTAAAATACTTTCTAGTCCATTACCAAGATCAAATTTAGTCCGGTCGCTACTACAAAGTGTGTAAATTTTAAAAGTCATCCCTTAGTCTCAGTTGAGACAACATTTTAACTTCTGTATATATTCAATATCATTTTTGAATTAAGTAAGAACACCCAATTTTAGTTTGAAATATCCCCTTTATCCATTTAAAATATTTTCAGCACATATATCTTATGACAGTGAAAATTCTCTCCATTTTTAATGTAAGAAAATGCAGCTTAAACATCAGGCTTTTCCTGTGCTGGTTGTAGAGGTAAAATAAGTTGATTTTTTTTTATTTAAAACTCATTTTTATTTGTAAAATAAAAACAAAATTGTTAGATATTATTTAAAGGAATAATTAAAGTAATTTCAGAATGCTTCCCATATGCCTGATCTCTAAGAAAAAAGTACATGTGCCACTTATTATTCCCTTTACTGGTCACGGTGTAAAGGAGAAAGCTTTAGACCTTTCAACTTTTTATTGCTTCTCTGATTTGACATACGAAATCCAGTCACCTGGACTCTGCCCGGTACCATGTGAGACTGTACTGTCAGACAAAAGAAAATGCAACTTGTGTTTTGATGGAGCTTCCACGGGAGCAGAGAACATATCCTACCCATGTGTCTTTGTATGTTTCTGGATGTGATTTTGCTTTCACATATCCATCTGCTAATGAGAAACAATGGCTTGACCACCACAAAGCTGAAATCAAACGACATCAAATAAACAGCAACGTACTAATTATGAACACTTCTATTTATTACATATCGTGCATTAATTTATATATTTTATTGTTTGAGAAGGAAAAATATTTTAGACGTTTTACTTGTGTGCTGGACATTGCTGCTTACAGTTATCAAACTGAAAGCATCTTAAGCACAGGAACTGGGCCTACTCCACGCCCTTGATAACCTAGCCTTTGTCTCCATGCATGGCACTGTCAGTCACTGAGCTGCTCTTTTTGGAATGAAGGTAAATCCACCCGTCTTTATATCCTGCTCCCAAACAGAGCTATTTTAATAGCAAATTTTTAGACCCATCAAAAGCAAAATGTCGCCGGGCGGTGGTGGCGCACGCCTTTAATGCCAGCACTCGGGAGGCAGAGCCAGGCGGATCTCTGTGAGTTCGAGGCCGGCCTGGGCTACCAAGTGAGTTCCAGGAAAGGCGCAAAGCTACACAGAGAAACCCTGTCTCGAAAAACCAAAAAAAAAAAAAAAAAAAAAAAAAAAAGAAAAGAAAAAAAAAAGAAAAATGTCAGAGAACCCTTGAGCTCATTCCTTTAAAGGTCCAGATGTGAAAAAAACAAGTGGCCATAACTTTGATCCACTTTTGTCTGTGGATCCATGATTGTTTTTCAACTCAACAGCTGCTGCAGATGGAACCTCAGAATGAGATTCCTGAGTGACCCAGATTATAAGGGAGTGTCTACTTAAGAGCGTTGTCTCTCATATCTTTGTAAATACAGAGCAGCACTGGTTTATGAAGGTGTTCATGATCACCCTATGAAACAAAAGGATTCAGATAGACCAGTAGTTCTCAAGCTTCCTAATTCTGGAGCTCTTTAAAATACTTCAGTGCCTCATTTTTTTGGTGACTGCCAACCATAAGATTATATTCCTTGCTATTTTATAACTGCAATTTTGTTACTGTTGTGAATTCTAAGTTTAAATTTTCATTCTAGTAATGCTCTTTCAGACTAAACTGAGTATAGTCACACAGTCACAATGTTAGCAATGAGTGAATTTATATTGCATGATGGAGTCTCACAGCCAGAAAGATGGCTCATCAGTTAATAGTACTTGCTACTCTTACCAGAGCTCAGCTCCAAACACCCATATGGGCAACTTACAATCACCTTTAATTCCAGCTCCAGGAGATCCTATGCTCCCTTCTGGCATCTGTTGACACCTATAAACACATGTGCATACACACTTGCACACACACACACACACACACACACACACACACACACACACACACATACCACGTAAATAGATGATAGACAGACAGACAGACAGATTTAGTCTCACAACAGACTGAGCTTTAAATGCTGTATTAACATCTGTGTATATGCCGAAATCATAGTGATTGTAGGGCAAGGAACCATGCACATCTTAAAGAATCAAGGCTGAGCAAGGTATCCCACCCTAGGGAATGTGTTCCAAAAAACCATTTCATGCACCTGGGATAAGTCCTGGTCCCGTTGCCAGAGGCTCCCCAAACATCTAGCCACGTAACTGTCACCCACATTTAGAGGGCCTAGTTTGGTCCCATGCATGTTCCCAGCTGACAGGCCAGAGTCTATGAGCTCCCACCAGCTTGAGTTAGCTGTCCTTGTGGTTTTCCCCATCATGATCTTGACCTCACTTGCTCCTGTGATCCCTCCTCCTTCTCTTCAACTGAAGTCTAGGAGCTCAGCCCAATGCTTGGTTGTGGATCACTGCATCTGCTTCCATCAGTTACTGGATGTAGGTTGTATGATGACAATTAGGGTAGTCATTCATCTGATTATAGGGAAAAATAAGTTCAAGTATCCTCTCCATTATTGCTAGCAGTCTTAGTTGGTGTCATCCTTGTGGAAATCCTGGGGATTTCTCTAGCACCCGGTTTCTCCCTAACCCCTAATGGTTCCCTCAACAGACAAGGCGGAAGGGTTTGGTCTTGCCTCAACTTAGTATGCCAGACTTTGTTGAGGGAGGCCCTTCTCCTCTCTAAGGAGTGGGGCGGGACTGGGGGAGGTGGAGATGGGCAGGGGAAGGGAGGGAGAGGGAACTGGGATTGGTATGTAAAATGAAAAAAAAAACTTTTTAAAAATTAATTAATTAAAAAAAGAATCAAAGGACTCATTCATATTGAGAGACCTGATTATTATTGGCCTTCCTTATAATTTAATGAAACAATGCTTTGTTTATCTGCCCTATTGTAAATATATCACTTAGATCTGCAGATTTTTTGGTATCTTACTTAGATTTTAAATATAAGGATCAATAGGCATTGTGCTCTTGTTGCATACATATACAAGAGTCAACAGACCTATGCAGTTTAAGTACTTTTATTTTTACAAATTTTTGTAAAAATTATTTAAAACTTTTCAAGGACAAACTGCCTGCTTTAGGCCATTGCTATACATTTGAAATAAAGTTAAACTAATTTAATCTTCCCTTATTTAACAGTGAGATAAGAGAACAAGAGTATCTTTCATTAACAGAATTCACATTTAATAGGTATTATCTCCTGGAATACGATATCATAAACTTGAAAACTGAGAGTCTTCTATGATGCTTCAAAGTAATTTAAGAAATTAGGAGAGAATTAGAAAAGGAATGCTTGGTTTACATGAGACAATATCCTGTTGATTGACAATTTATGTTTTTCCATATTACTTGAGAACTGTAGCCTTGATCAAGATACATTCATAAGATGCAATTTAAATGGATAAGAATTAATTGACAAAGAAGAGAAGTCACTTCAATTATGTAGAATAATTTTACTTCAGCATTTAAATAATGTAGTGTACACATGGAACAGAAATTGAGACAAATAGGTAGTGGGGGAGTAATTGAACACTTAGGTACAGCCAATATGCATTTTCACCCCTCAATTTCATCCTCAATTCAGGAGAAAATCACAGTCTAATGTTTGTCTGTTGTGGGGATCCCTAATACATAAGAAGGAGAGTAGTCCCAAGATAATAAATAATCAGTTATAAGGAAAATTATAGACATCTGAGACTCAGAAATTGTATAACTAAAGACAACACATAAAAATGACATACAGTCATTTTTAACAGAACAAATGGAGCAGTCAGATAAGACTTTAAGATACAGATGTGCTTCTTTTGAAAAATAAATACTATATTAGAAAGATAAAGAAGACTAAGCTTCTATAGAAACTAAGGATGTCAATCACAGAAGAATCCCACAGAGAGACAGGTCTCAGAAATAATATTTTAAAGAAGCAATGAAAATACTTGAAGAATAATGATAAAGAGAATAAGGAAGTTTTTCACAGAGGGAAAAATGGAAGAATTATGTAAAAAAGAAAGAAGTGTGAAGATACATGGAAAAAGATAAGACTAATTGTGCTGCCTAGTTGTAAGTCAACTTGACAGAAGCTAGAGTCATCTGAGAAAAGGAAGCCTCAATTTAGAAAATGCCTCCATAAGATCTGACTGTACAAAAGCATTTAGGACATTTTATTAAATAGTGATTGATGGGAGAGGGCCCAGTCCATTGTGAGTAGTACCATCCCTGGGCTGGTAGTCCTGGGTTCTATAAGAAAGTAGGCTGAGCAAGCCAGGGGGAGCAAACAAATGAGAAGTATTGCTCCCTGAACTCTATCTACATCAGTTCTTGCCTCCTAGTTCCTGCCCTTCTTGAGCTCCTGTCCTCAGTGCTTTTGATGATGAACTGTTATAGGGAACTGTGAATGAATAAATTGAATAAATAAATAAATAAATAAATAAATAAATAAATAAATAAATAAATAAATACCCTTTCCTCCCAATGTTGCTTTCAGTCATGGTGTTTCATCACAGCAACAGTAACCCTGAATAACACACTGATGGATATGGACAACAAGATAAAATATTAACTTTAGATGAAAAACTGTTATCAATAGGAGTGGTAAAATAAATATATCATTGTCATTCAAACATAAAATATTGCTCATCACTTCACTGAAAATCTAGGGTACAGGAATTCATGAGAAGTGGATTTATTAGTTTTAAGCAGAACTAGGGAAAGAGAAACTTGCAGTCTCTTTTTGGAGAGAGAGAGAGAGAGAGAGAGAGAGAGAGAGAGAGAGAGAGAGAGAGAGAAGCAGAAGGAGGAGGAGGAGGAGGAGGAGGAGGAGGAGGAGGAGGAGGAGGAGGAGGAGGAAATAAGCATGTGTGTATTTCCCTGTGAGTCCATGTTATCAGTACTGAAGTGTAAGTCTTTTGCCCTTGGAGAAGAATCTGTCCTCCAGAGCCACAATACCTGTGGATAGCCTGTCCTCACATGGAAAAATCCTAATCCTGTAGCCTCATAACACTGAAATTTTCAGTCACTAAAAACATAAAAGGAGCCAGGTGGTGGTGATGCACGCCTTTAATCCCAGCTCTTGGGAGGTAGAAACAGGCAGATCTCTGTGGGTTCGAGGCCAGCCTGGTCTACAGATCGAGTTCCAGGACAGGCTCCAAAGCTACAGAGAAATCCTGTCTCAAAAAACCACAAAAATTAAAAAATTAAAAAAAAAAGACATAGAAGGGAAAAAACATATAATTCACACAAAAAAAAAAAATAATGAAATTCGCACCAGAACCTTCAGCAACAATACTGGATTTATGAAATAGTAGAAGAATAATTTATTCAAAACAACAAAGGAATAGAACTATTATACACTCAGTTTTATTTATAATATTACTTACATTTCTAGGTGAAGTAAAGATAATTTCCAAATAAAAAAACTCTTGAAAAGACATTTATAAAAATATAATCAGAGGTCCAATAAGAAGACTCAGTGGGTAGAAGTGCTTGTGCCCAAGTCTGATGGCATCAGATTTGGTCTTTGGGGCCTACATGGTAGAAGGAGGGCAGCAACCCTTGCAACTTGTTCTCTGACTTCCACACACGTGCTATGGCAAGCAGGTGCCCACATAACCATACAGACAATTGATAAATAAATTTAATAAAAATATAGTCAAGGAAGAAGGAAACATCAGGTAAATATTCTAAACAAATAATTTGCTTATGTAAAAGTCATACTGGTTTTGTTAAAGTAAATATTGATAAAAATCAAAAGATAAATAAACATATATTGATGAGAACCAGCAATTGTTACTCAACAGTATTCCAAATGGTGGTTGGTTCAGGGAAGGAGCCGAGGGCAGAGGCCAACATACTGTCTCCAGTGTTTGCCAGTGGAGGGGCAAATGGTTTAAGATGGTTAGGATTAGGGTGGAATACACATTACTGAACAAGCCCACTGGTTCATCACAGATATTAACTGTACCAAGTTATAGAAAACAGTCTCTTGAAGAGACTGGGGAATGGCCAAAGTGGCAAAAACCTGGAGGCCAGTGACTCTTGAGAGAAGAGGATGGCACTTAGTGAAACCAGTTTCCACGGGAGAGAACACTGGTGGGTTGAGTGAACCAGAGGGAGATCTCAAAGAGTAAATAACAGTTTCAGTGGCTTGAAGAGCCTGAGGCAGGCAACATTCGATTTTGTGGAAAAGAGCTGGGATATCCCTAAAAGAAGGGAGTGAAGAGGCCTCCAAAGGTCCCTAAAAACTTTGGTTGAGTCCTGAACAGAAAGCAAGAGCCAGAAGTCTGAGAGAACTTGAGAAATGCAACCTATCCTGCAAGCATCGCGCCTTATTAAAATTTCCACATTTCCCACATCCCATGGAAAGTGAGCAATACCCCTGAACTAAAGCAGAACCAAAACAAAGTCACCCTGAAAAGTCTAAAACAAGTCTTTAAGGAAACCAGCAGTAAAGGAATTTTATGAGCCTGTAATACAGAGGAAGCACAAAAAATAAGAACATCTAGAATGTTCTTTCACTGTGACTATGTACAACATTTAACTCAGTGTAATTATAAAAATAACTGCACATTCAGAAAAGCAAAAGAAAGACATGAAACAAGAAGTTTCTGGAAACAACCATGTTTACAACATTCTTGTGCTAAGGAAGAGGGATTATAGTAGCTTTTACAATTAAAGAATTTACACACACACACACACACAGAGAGAGAGAGAGAGAGAGAGAGAGAGAGAGAGAGAGAGAGAGAGAGAGAGCAGTCACACTAATAAACATGTAGAAACTCAGAAAACTTGATGATATTCTGAAGATAGAAAATTAAGAGGAATTGCCACCAGTTCGTCTTCCTGTGAAACACCCACACAGGCAGGCTTACACAGCAACTTCTTTTAGATAGCACAGAAATATGCACCAGAAACAGGGAGATAAGTGGTGCATCCCTACATCTCTGCATTTTCTGTGTGGCAACCACTTCTACAGGAATGTAGCACTGAAGGCTCCTATCTGAAAAAGAAAAAATGATTTTGAAGAATAGATGGCTGATAACTATAAAACAAAAATAAAATTTGATACTGTTTCAAGTTATATATTAAAAATTTAAGAATTCATTGTATAAACAAAAACCAACCATGAACAATAAATAAATAAAAATATTTTCTAACTGTTTAGTATTGGAGACAAATGGAGCATTGATAAATGTATAAGTTAGTCCATTGGTCTAACTTTCCTGGGCTTTATAATAGTCCTTTGGCATTTTCCTCCTGAGACTCTCTTTCCACAGTTAATTGAACTCCAAGAATAGCCCAACTAATCATTGAATATTTTTATCATAAGTATCTTAAAAACAAACAAACAACAAGATCACCCCAAGATGCATTCACCCTTAACAGAGCAGTCAACCAAATATTTGGAACTGAGGGAGCACCACAGAACAAGACCCATCTCTTATGAGGAACAGAAGACTCCCTACAATGATTACAATAATAACCATTTCCCCAGAAAAATTTTGAAGAGCCAGGTTTGAAAAAATGATGAATCAGGACCATTGACTATTCACGATGATTTGCTTCTTTGTCTACACAGATGCCCCACTCTGTAAACCTCCAACCTTTACTTTGTTTCCCTTTCCTATAAAATTTCCATGTCCCTGTCAAACTCTTAAGCACATATATGAGATTATTAAGCCATTACAAATGTACACACACCCAAATATATGCATACATAATACATATATACACATACATACATACGCACACTAAGCATGTATCCCATAATTACACACAAGAAGAAATTGACTCCATAAACTAAAATCTTATCAAACAAAAAGGATGATACTCAGGCTTCTCTGTCTACCAGACTTTTAAGGAAAATATTGTAGCAGTTCTCTGCATTGTCTTGCAGGAAATAGAAGCAGGGAAATAGGTCCCTACTCATCTCATTAAGCTAGCATTCTAGGCTAAGCCCCTGTGATGATGATTGACATAGGGGAATTAAGCACACCTTGAATCTCTCCTACTAGGTTCATCTTGAGTAGTACCTTTAATTTGTGGACTTGCTATTTGTTAATCCTACTTTATAGAATAAGCTATCTTTCCTTTTTTAAAAAAAATTTGCTTCTTTATCTGCAAAAAAAAAAGCATTTGAAAAAAATGAATTTATTTTGGGCATTAAATGAGATCCTGCATATAAAATCATTTGCAAAACGGTTAAAAGCCTAAATTCATTATTTATTCACTGCCATTCATTATGCAAAGTTCAGGAATTCTTAAATGTGAGATGATTATCAGTATTCTACATACCAGAATACCAAAGGTCAATATTCTGTCTCACTTTAAATCCCAGCATTGCAGAACTCTTCATTTATAATGCTAGGCGTATTACTAAGCCAAAACTCAGAAGTTTTATCCCAGATTTCTCACTCCAATTGTCCTCCTATGTAGCACACGCTCACAGGAAAATTCCATGAACTGTTCTCCTAGTGCATGTCTGAAATTTCAAACAGACTCGCGCTGCCATCTGCTCCTTCTGATAAGCGACTCATCTGTCTGCTGAGAGGTAGGGAAAAGGCTCGCTGAGAAAGAATAATGCTTCCCTGCCACCCTGCAGCCTGCCTGGGTGGCTCGCGGACATGCACCAGATAATTAGGGGTCAAACCAACATTTCCAGGCTGTATTTGGATGGGATTTGAATTCATTGTGGCTGCACTCTACACAGCACTACGTACAGCGACTGGTGTAATTTGGACGATGCGCTCAGCATCTGCTGCCTTTCAGCAGCAAAGCAGAGAAGAGCAGCATGATTAAGGGAATTCACCCAGCAGCTTTTCTGATTTTAAAGAGCTGAAATGAGACTAGTTCCTACAGAGTCACGGGAATACGTAGGTGTGTTTCTGCAGATGATGGAAGGGTAATTGTAACCACGATGCTTTGTAGTAGAAATAAAAACTTAAAATGAAGCTTATCCAAAGCAATCCAAATAAAAATTTCTTTTCAGAAAACAAACATCAAACAAGTCTTACTCAATTTAAAAAATTAGTGGGACCTTTGGTATTCCCATGACAATCCACATAAGTCACTTACACTTTATGTACAACAGCAATACAGGATAGATGGCATGGAAGGTAATTGAAGGTATTTCTTCATTCAGGTGGGCACAGAAAATTCTTGGAGTTAGAGACAAAAATTGCTAATAATGCATACCTTTAGGGAATAGAATAAAATTTAAGTTAGTAGGGGAAATGGGACAAGAGAGATTTTAACATACATTTATTTTTTATATAAATTATCATCCTGCACTCTGCGATTTAAAATTCTGAACATATATCACTTTATATAATTAAATAGCATTTATCTTAGCAAAAAAAAAATTGGATTTTAACTTTTTAATCTAATCAACTGAGGATCCTTTTGATCTGGGAATCAGGGAATCAAATCGGGGTTCTCTTTCTGATTGACAGGACAGCAGGCAGCATTGAATGAGCTAACCTAAATTAGCTTCCTTCCCCATCAATGAAATTGGAACAACATAAACAGCCTTCTCCACCTTTGAAAGGGAGGCTATGCACAGAAAGATGACCATTAATATACTGGGTTATTAGTGTTATTACAGTAGTAAACTGTACCTAACTGCCCAATTGTGGGGAAAGTTTTGTGCATGTCCCTATGAAATTTTCCATATTTTTGAATAATTCATGAAATGCTACAAAAATTGGAATTAATTCACAATATGAAACCAATATTTTCAGCAATAGCTCTCCACTGACAGTGTTGCATGATGTGCATACTTTGCAATAACTGACGTTTTAGCCTAAAAAGGGACAGAAAGTTACTGCAAATTTACTAACATTATTCAAAATCTCATAGTTGACATTTCTCCTGGTGAGTTCTTTTAAATTTATTGGAAAATTCTATGAAAGAATAAGGATAAGAATGTGCATGAAATTTTTATTTTTCCATTTTCAATGTGGGTTTTTCTTACAGGAGAAAGAAGCTATCAGTTCTTGACCTGTGAAAGTTGCACAAGATGGCTTCCAAAATTCAATGTAGGCCATAAAAGAAGGCTATATGTACGTAGTTACCTTTTGCCCCCTTTTTCTTCCTCATTAATTCTTTTCTCTAACTAATTTTAAACCCTAAAGGAGTAGATGGATAAATCAGAATCGACAGACTCTGTGATAACTTTGGCTTCATGGTTTAAGCTACAGACATGAAATGAGAAGGGACATGTATTTGGTACAAGCTAGAGATAGCTAGAAAGCAAATGTAATAGGTAAGAAAATCCTCACGGAGCGTGCAGAGTCTGTGATCGTATGAGTATCTTTGAGTGTCTAAATCCTATCGATTGCGTGACAGCTATACTTTGGCTGGAGCAGATGGTAGACTGAACTGTACATGTGAGTGTGGATGTCGCTGCTTGTATGTATACACACATATTTATGTATAATTTCTTGAAATCTATGCGACTTTATGTTATGGGGCTTAACCGGGATTGTGTGTTGCTAGCAGACTGTACACATGCTGTGGCTGGGTTTTTCTTTGCCTCAGTAGAAAGTGTCAAATTGGAATAATGGTAACAATGATTGTAAAAATGTCCCATGCAATAAGAAGTTCCTCTTCTTTATACAAGTTTTTAGGGTCATAGAGGAACATTCAATATTTCCTTTTCAATAAAACATTCTTTACCTCCAGCTAATGACAATCCAGTAACAGTATAATTAATGATATAGTTCAAATACCTACCCCCATCATGAGACAAAAGCATTTTGATGATATTTTGTCATAAATCTGGACACTACTGTGAGTTTGGTGGAATTTTGCATTGCTACATTCACTTTATTTATCAGCAATGCAGAATCAAGGCACAAAGAGGGAATATATAAGGTAAGAAAACATTTTGTTATACTTTATTTAATGAAATCTGATTTTCCCATGGTAGTTGGGGTATGTGCTTTTATATAATTACCATATTGACTACTCTAAAGTCCTGAGGCCTGTAGACCAGCAGAGTCAAGATCATCTGGAAATCTATAAGAAATCCCTCTTTTCACCAGGTCTGCTAAGTCATAATGAGATGGACAAAAGATGTAGTCTCTCATTGGAGTCTGAGGAAAAAGTCTGTGAGGACCCAAAGCAAGCTCTTTAGTCATCTGTGTGCCAGACACTGGGGAGTAATTTGCAAAATTTTATGTATTTTTTAACACACTGAGAGACTGTATTTTTCCTGTGCAGTTAGGTGTGACCTTGTGATTATGTGTGGCCTAGTAATGATGGGAAGAAGTTCTAAATGTTCCTTTCAGTTTCAGCCCAACAGTTACTTGGCACTTGCTTTTGTCTGTGTCCGGACTTCCTGGGGACATGATGCAGTGATATCTACAGTCATTAACAGGTTACATCCCTATGTGACTTGTGCAGTAGCATTCTTTTCCTCAACTCTCCTTGCCAGTAGACTTGAAGTCTGTATAAAACTGTGCAAAAGTTCTCAGTATTAGATCAGTGAGTTTCAGAATTTCTCTGTTACTATAACCTCCTAGAGATTTCAATAAGCATCACCATGTTTTAAATGTAGGGTTTCAGGTTGTTAAAGTTAGGAGAATGATCAATAGATTACGTGGCTAGCTTTAGACCATTTTCCTGACTGAGAAGAGGCCATCTTAACTCCTTTGGTCTCATTCCATGCCCTATTTCTCCTTCTTCATAACTCCCTCATTCATCTTTCTATTATTAAGATGTATTATTCATAACCTCTTAGGTCCAAGATGTTTTATTTATGTTGCTTAATTATCATCATTTTGGAAGTCACAAACAATTTAGAAAAAGGTCTATGGGCCAAGATATTTAGATGTATCATGACCTCTGATTTATTATATTACTTATGAATGACGTGAGGGGACATGTCCATTGCTAAGCATATAGCATCTCTTAATCATTTATTGTGTCATAAAATATTTATTAATTTAAAAATGTTTTTTATTTGGTCTTTATTAGAGTAATCCTTTCCCACTTGAGGAATCCCCACTGGTGAAAATTTTTCTCTTCTTTCTGACAGAATTTGAATAAATTATTTATATTTAGTGCTTTGTATTTCTACTATGATTATTATTATTATTATTCCCATCAAGCCACACTTAGCAGATAAAGATAATAAACACAGCTCTAATTTCTGAGAAAACTGTATTCACATGGATAAAATGGTTGGCAATGAATCATCAGGACACACCTTCTTAAAATATGTCTCTGAGTAATGAAAACATTACATAAGCTGTGTCTGTGATCCAGTCAACTCCAGTCATTGGCTATTCATCCAGTGGCTAACATTTTATTTGATAATTTAGGGACAGAGTGCAAAAAAGAAAAGTGAGAGACTTTAGCTCATATGGAAGTATTCTGTGTCTGGCACTGAGATTCTCATTTGATACCCCATGCTTCCTTGAAGCAGTATTATCTACCAATATATGCAGGTTATTTCTGCTCAAACTGTTTTACACACACACACACACACACACACACACACACACACACACACACACACACAATTAAAACTAGTTTATTTTTTTAATTATATGTATAGCTGTGTGACTGAGCGTGTGTTTGTGTCCATTGGTATGTTGCCCATTGTAGCCAAAACATAACATCAGATGCCCTGCAGCTGGAATTACAGGCGATTGTGAGTCACTTAATGTGAGTGAACTGAACTCTGGTCCTCTGGAGGAGGAATGTGTGCTTTTAGAAGCTAAGCCGTCTTTCCAGCCCTATCTAATATTTTTAATTAGCTTACAAACTATGGGTTTCTTTAATCGTCTTTGGATATCCCTAGTTTTGATAACACATCCCCTACCTTCTCCTTGTCCTAATGGTTCTCTCCTCCACTTCATCCTGTACCTCTTAGAAAATCCCCACTTCTCTTGTCATCTGTGTTAGGGGTTCTCACCCTTAGCAGAGGAACTACACTCTCCTTTTAGAATATGACCCTTTGCAGGTTGTCTGTCCTCAAGAGGATGGTCCCACATACATAAATATAGAGGCCACACTAATTCGATGTAGGGAGTTTCTAATAACAACAAAGAGTATATGGGGCAATCATGGTGGCCCATGCTTTAAATTCCAGCACTCAGGAAGCAAAGGCAGGTGGATCTCTGGAAACCTGCTGCCATTCTTCTCTACATTGATAGACATAGGGATACTCTGTCTCAAACAAAACAAACAAACACAAAAGGCAGATGTGCAGTTGGAAGATACAGCAGGAAAGGCCTGAGGACCATAAGTGGGAATTGGAAGAAGGTAGTTGTGGATGGATACGATCAAATTAATTGAGTGAGTGTATGGAATTTTCAAAGAATAAATTAAAAAAATGTTTTAAAAAGAATATTGCAATAGAAAAAATGAAAGTTTCCAAAGAAAAACAGAGTAGTTCTTTTGG